GAGAAGCTCCAAATAATTAATACGCGCACCAGGCGTGACCACTATCCTCTTGTGCTCAAATTTAGTATAGGTGAATGTTTTGACGTATGCAAACCACAGCAGACTGTCTGGCATCATGACGCAATCTCCAGGGCCGTCCGCTTCGGAGAAGGCGCTGAGCACTTTCTGAACCAAGTAGAGAATGCGTTGGAGACAACTGCGGGAAACGTGCTGGAGCTGGCCTCACAAAGTGTGGACGCCCTGTACGATGAAGTCCATGACACAGTTGAGCAGATTGCAAAAGAGTCTTTTAAGCGGCAAGCAAAGAAGCACGAGCGCCCGCTTGACACGCAGAGAGCGCTGGAAGAGCGACTGCGTGAGCGTGCAGCGCTGCGTGGATTGCGCAGTGTCCCTGTGGCCCCCCTCCCCCTCCTCCCTCCCCTCCAGTGGCTGGCTCCCGCAACTTGTCAGGGCCAAGGGATACGCGATTTTTTGCCATTCCAGTTTCGAGGAATTATCTGCTCCGCCTCGCGTGCGTGCAATGAGATATATGAGCCACACGCCTGCCTCGCTGCTGTCATCGTTCAGTGTAGAAGAAGAGATAAATCTGTCAGATTTCACCTGCGCCGCGACAGGGCGCGGCAACTAGGACTTTATGCTAGTGAACTTGAGAATGCCAGAAGAAGGGGGGACACAGCATTGTGCTGGAGACTCTCTCGCCTTTTGTCGCAGAATAGCCTTGGCCCGAAGCAGCGCGACTTTTGTGCGCCCAAGACTCGACTCGAGACGAACACGTGGAACACATTTTTAGAGCAGGATGGGCAGCAAGGGGGATTCGCGGCAAAGCCAGCGATCCACGAGGAGGTGCGCGCTAGCAGAGATGCGCGCCCCCCTTGCACGAATTTAACTGTTGACATGATGACGAGGGCGAATGATGATTTTGAAGAGCTGCGACGGCGAATGCGACTAGCGAAGCTTCGCAGAACGCCGCCAGCCTGGAGTTTCCCTGTCGGTATTTGGCGTCTAATGTTTCATCCCAACGAATATAAGTATTTGAATGGGGAAGTGCGCAGGCAGTACGAGAATGTAGAAGACAGGTATTTTCCCAACATTGTTAAGTGTCTCGCGTGGCTCTGTACGGCTATCAGGACGCATGCTGAAACGCCGATCAGGTGGCACCAGAGTCAAGCGTTCTCGCTGGACAAACTAAACGGGAAAAGTGAATGCAAGGGCCAGAGGCTTGTGCACTCGCTTGATGCCCTCGGCAAAGTATACTACGCGTATGTGTGGAGCCTGTACCCCGCCCTCACTAAGCAGGCCGATAGGCCATACGCTTTCGGCTATCTGAGGGGGCGGCGGAGGGAGGAAGCGATTTTAATCCAGAATGCGTGTGCATCTAGGCTGCATGGATCACAGATAGGACGGGTCACCACGCTGTACGATGCCGCGAATGCCTCCCATAGTATCCACCACGATCGGCTTAGAGCATATGTGCGTGAACACTGTGACCCTCTCGGTGCGGAAATCCTCGAGCAGCGTATTGACTACGCGCAGGTGATGATTGAGTGCGCCGACGGGGACCTAGTCGTGGCCATCGGGCAGGGCACACTTCCAGGGGGCACGGTAGCATGCTTATGGTTCCTGGGGGCGTACAACACAGCGATTGACAGATTCAGGGACTCCGACGCGGTGGGGATCTATGTTACCATGAAGTGGCTGAGGCATTGCATTGTATCCACGGAGGGAGCTAAACACTATCTCAATGTGCTCGCGCGTGAGAGCCTCGACATTTCTGCGACGAGTTTTTCAGATGACATAGCACGCACGTCTGCCGTCGAGAGTGCTGCGCATTGTAGGGCCAGGACCAACACCCAGTTCTTGCTTCTAGAGGCGGAGCTTATGGAGGAGGGAGTCGCAATCAATGGGGACAAGCAGACATCGTTAGTTCAGCTGGAAGGGAGGGGCGCACAGTACGGCATGAGGAGGTTGTACAGGGACAAGGATATGATGAGAGGAGGAGTGCAGAGAGTCGCGAAGTATCTCGGAGGTCAGCTACACTTTCAAGGTAAGTCTAAGCCTGAGGTAGAATACAGGACGAAGCGCGCGAAGCAGGCCTTCTCGGTGCTCGGGAGCTTCTGGGGGGAGGTGAAGAATGAGAAGTGGAGGGGGGTGATCTTCAAGAGTATGGTTGAGGCCGCGCTCCTATCGGAGGTAGTTGCGTTTCCGCTCGCCGAGGCCGAGCTCCAGAGGCTGGAAGCTACGCAGGCCAAACTTGCTCGGCGTGCACTGCGAGGCAAAGGGTGTCTCAAGGTTGAAGCGACGGATATACGAGCAAAGCATCACGCGGCCCTCCCTAATACTAGGGTTCGGGAAATGTTGAGACTGCGCACCCCGGTTTGTCTACTCAGAGCGCAAAGGCTACGCTGGTGGCAAGAAATCATTCGGCATCCTGAACGTCACGTGCTGTTTATTGGTACGCTATTCGGCCACGCTGGCTGGGATAAGCATAATTTGTGCGATGATATGGGATACTCGGCAGCTGCTCCTGGAGGGAGCTCGGTGCACAAGTGGTGGAGCCAGCTGCTGATTGACCTTGCCGCTTGTATCGAGTATTTAGAGGTGCCAGACATCCGACCCAAGCTCGTAGCTCGGCCAGTCTCTCTTTTTTGTGATGCAGAAGTGCGCGATGCTGTGCTGATGATCTCGACTGCCAAGCTGAAGAGGGAGAACAGGGGGATGAGGGTGTACGAGGAGATACAGGGAGTTACCATACAGGAGGAACAAGCGGGGGGGGAACAAGTTGGAGACGGAGGAGGTGGACAGGATGGAGGTGCTGACGGAGGCCAAGGCGAGGAGGGAGGAGGTGATGTACCGCAAGCAGATGCAGCACAGCATGCGCCTCTGGTGGAGCCAGAACAACCCGCCTATGTGTGCGATATTCCTGGCTGTGGAGTTGGCTTCGACACGAGGAGGCAACTCTTGCTGCATCAGTCCAACTCACAAGCAGAAGGGCATGGAAAAAAGCAGTTGGCAAAAATATTGACGGTATCAAACAAATGCATCATCTGTGACAACTTCTATACTACGAAACGATATGCATCTGAACACCTGGCGCAAGCAATTGCAAGGGGAGGCAAGTGTCCGAGGTCGAGGGGTTCGGTTACTGTTCATGGGCATCTTGTGGACCCCCCGTATTGGTGCGAGTTATGTTATGAGGAGTTTGCCACTTACGAGGTGGCGCGTAACCACATGAAAACACACCTGTTGTAAGCACGTGCGAGGGCACGTGGGTGAATTCGCAATCGATTGGCTCGAAGGGTTTCTTGCTCACGATCATCAGTGTGTGGTCGGACGTCCGCTGCTCTCGTCCCGCCTTGCGATGTCGTGGAAGGATCAGTTCTCCCATGCTGGACCGAGTGACGGGACATCAGAGCCGCAGGGCCGTGGGGTGAAGTATCGAGCCATCGAGTGCACGCAGGACAAAGACAAGCTGAACCTTGCTGTCAAACTAGGTGTGATCGCGAATCAGAAGGTCAGGCTGCTGGAGAGTGCTACTACCACACAGATACCTATCAGTGCAGACGGCGCCCTTGGGAGGGCCATGGCCAAGGCGCATGCCGAAGAGTACTTGCCAAGGGTCAAGGGCAAAACAGGGCACGGGCTTGGGCATCCTGACACGTTCATGCTGACTGCCGCAGCGATCACTATATCTGAATCGTGCGAGGAGAGCGTGAAGACCGCGATGACCGAGTACCTTGAGAAGTACAAACCAGGGTCGCGTGAGGCCCAGAGAGTGGTGGGACTCTTCAGGACGGAGAAGATGTACGACAGCAAGCTGAGAAGGTTGATCATATCCATTCGCAACCCAGTGTTCGAAGACACGCTGGTCAAGGCCATCGAGAATATGGAGAAGAAGACCGCGTTTGCGGGCCCTCGCCCAGCGGGCCACCTGGAGCTTGAGGGCCAGAAGGTGATCGAGGGGCCTAAGTGATGCGTGATGGTGTCTGGAGTGTTGGGCCACGAGTGCGGCATCAACATCGTGCTGGGCGTCTGGCATGCTGGGCCACGAGTGCGGTATCAACATCGAGCTGGGATCGTTCTGAGCCTCTCCGACCTGCAGGCACCGTGCTGCCTCTGTCGTCGGCCTGTTTCTCCCGCCCCTCCCTCCTCCTCCTCCTTTGGTGTTTCTTTTGACCAGCAGTCCTGGGCCTTGAATTCGGTTCGGTGATCGTGAATTCGTGGTCTAGTCAAGCGTGTCTGCGACGGGCCCCCCTCCTGCGCCCTCTGTCGTGTCCTCTCGTCTTCCCGCTTGCTCGCCCTTCCCGCTCCTCCTGGCCTGCGGGCTCTCCTCCCCCCCTCGGGGGCGTTTCCTGGCTCGTGACGCACGTCCCTCTTGGGGGACGTGCGTTGTGGGCTGGGTAGCGCGCCCGCTCCCTCGCCCCTTCTTCCGCCGTCGTCCTGCTGCTGCTGGGGCCTCGTCGCAGAAAAAACAAGTTTTTGACTCGCCCTCCGAGTTTCGGGAGGGAGCCACTTCGGATACGGGCTGTGCACTGGCACCCCCCGTGCATGCACGGGGCTGCCGCTAGTGCCCCTCGTGTGATGAGGTGCCGAGCTGCAGTGTTGAGGGGTCGTCCCCATCCTCTCCCTAGTTCGAACCGTCATCGGACTCTCGTGGAGCGCCGCCGCCGCCGCCCCCTCCTCCTCCTCCTCTTCCTCCTCATCCTCCTCCTCCTCCCCCTCCTCCCCCTCCTCCTCCTCCTCCTCCTGCTCCTCCTCCCCCTCCTCCTCCTCCTTCTCCTCCTCCTCTCCTCCTTCTCCTCCTCCTCCTCCTCCTCCTCCTCCTCACCGCCCTCTCACCTTCGCTGCTCTTGGGGTGCACGCTCTGCTGGGGCAGTGCCGCCTTTGGGGGGGCTCCCACCTCGCAGCGCCGGGCCAGCGCGACGGCACGCCGCCGCGCGTGCCGGCACGCGCGGAGGCGTGCCGTCGCGCTGGCCCGGCACCCGGCCGGCGCCGCCCGCGAGGAGGCGGAGCCGGAGCCGCCGGGCTCGGAGGAGCGCCGCCGCCCCGCCTCGTCGTCGTCGTCGTCGTCGTCGTCGTCGTCGTCGTCGTCGCCGTCGTCGCCGTCGCCGCCGACGCCGTCGCGGTCGTCGCCGTCGTCGTCGTCGTCGTCGTCGTCGTCGCCTCCCTCCTCCCTCCCTCCTCCCTCCCTCCTCCCTCTTCCTCCCTCCTCTCTCCTCCCTCCTCGCCCTGGCCGTCTCCTGGCCGCACTTTCGTACTCGCGGCGCCGGCCCTGCTCGGGGGCCTGCCGTCTCCCGGCCGCACTTTCGTGTTCGGCCCTGCTCCGGGGCCTGGCGCTCTGCTTGTTCCGCGGGCGGCCTGTGTGCACCGTGCTTTCACTTTGGTGGCACAACGTTGCGCTCCAACTACGTGGTGCTCTTTTTCTTCTCGGGCGTCGACCTGGTTAAGTGGCGCGTCCTCTCCCGCAGTTTGTGAGGCTGGCGTTCTCGGAGCACGCCGCTGACGGCTACACCACCCGCTTTTTTCCTCCTGGGACTTCACCACCGGGCTCCTGTCCAATGTGTACCTTTTCCTGCACGTCCACTTCGGCACCGCCTGATCCCTGGGCTTCGCCCGCTCCTGGCCGCGTGAGGCCCCGCCTTCTTCCGCTTTTTCTCTGCTAATTAAAGCTGCGCGCGTCCCGCTTAGCTTTCAGCGGAAGAGGTTCGCTCTCGCCCTGCAGATCAAAAAAGTGTGCACCGTGCCTCCCCGTGCGGCAGTCTCCGTGCGCCTCGCCGGAGGCCTCCCGGAGGCTCCCCGTCGCCGCGGCCGGGTGCGCCCCGGGGGGAGCGAGCCGGGAGGGGCCCCGTGGAGGCAGTCGTCGGGCCAGGGGCGCCTGGGGGGCCTGGCAGCAGCACGAGAGAGGGGGGCTTCACTATGGGATGCCAGTCCCCCCCCGCCCCCCTGCCCTCAAAGTCGGAGTTCTGGGGAGCCTGGAAGCGTCTCGGAGCGTTCCGGAACGCGAGCCAGGAGGGTCCCCATGGAGGCAGTCGTCCGGCCATGGGCGTCCCGTCACTCCCAGGGGCAACGCTTCGCTATCGGATGCCAGTTCCCCCCCCCCCCCTGCCCTCAAAGTCGGAATTGTGGGGAGCCTGGAAGCACCACGGACGAGGGGGGCTTCTTCGGGGTGGCTCCAGGTGTCCCATACTTCGCAGGCCGCCCCCCATGGAGGGTTCCAGGGGGGGGGGGGGGAGGCGCTGCTGAGCGGACTTCCGGACGGGGATCAGACGAGGAGAGGTCCGTTCCAGAGCGTTCCAGAACAGTGTCGGAGCCTTTCGGAACGCGGGCCAGGAGGGTCCCCATGGAGGCAGTCGTCCGGCCATGGGCGTCCCGTGATTCCCAGGGGCAACGCTAGGGGGGGGATTGGCACAGGGCGGGATGCGTCGACCCCCAATCGCCCATGGATCGCCGATAGGGGCCCGATAGCCCCAACCTGCCCAGGAAGGCGCGGACTCACTATCGGAGGCCTATCGCCGATCTATCGGCGATGTATCGCCGACTCCAGGTCGATGCATCCCCCCTCATGCCAGTCCCCCCCTATTCTCAAATTCGGAATTATGGGGAACCTGGAAGCACCACAAAAAATGGGGGCTTTTCCGGGTTGAGTCCAGGTTTCCCATGCTTCGCAGGCCGCCCCCCATGGAGGGTTCCCGGGGGGGGGGCGCTGCAGAGCGGATTGGGGATCGGCCGAGGGAAAAAGTCCGTTCCAGAGCGTTCCGCAACGGTCTCGGAGCGTTCCGGAACGCGCTGAGAAGGCTGCGGGGCCCGAGACGTCCTCCAATGCCACCAGATCGTTCTCGATTTGTCCTCACCCGATTTTCACAATCCTCGTCCTGGCTTCGTCTTAAACGTGGGCGGGGCGTCGAACGACCAAAAACACCACGGGTAGTTCTTGACTGTTTTCGGCCCCCGGGAGGGGTCCGAGCCTCCCCTGACTCCGGATCCGCCGTGCTTTTTGGGCGACTTCCCAAGTAGGGCGGAGATTCCCGCGCTCTTTTTGCTCAAGCTTCCTCTGATGTCGATTTCCGCCCCTCGTTGCCGCCGCTTGTTTCACAATACCTTTGCGGAAATATGAGTCCTATCTGTCCGGGGCGGCAATTGCTGCCTTGTTCTGTCCCTTCGCTTGGGGCACATATCAGACACTAGTCAAGCCAATTACGGCGCATCTGGAGTTAAGTCGGGCGTGCCCCCCGACAGGAGGGATATTCTGAAATAGTCCAAACATAGTCAGGTGACGACTTTTTGACAATTTGTTGATTATTTTTGGAGCGTTTTTTTTCTATGTTTGATTGTTCGTCCAAAATCCGCCTGTAGGGGGACACGCCCGACCTAAATCTGGAGTCAGGGTCTTTTTTCTGGTGCGGTCGAAGCGGCCGCTCAGAGGAGGAGAGCTCGCGGCTCGTCTCAGAGGAGCTCGCGGCTCGAGGTGCGAGGTTTTCCGGCGTCCTCGTCGGCTCCCGTCGGCTCTCCAGCCTCGGGCTGTTCTCCAGCAGTTGCGCCTCGCCGAGAGCTTGCCGGGGGTAAGTACCCTTCAATCGGGCATGTCCCTCTACAGGAGAAATATTCATACATCGTCATATGGGGACGACTTTTTTTCCCCACATCCAAAGTGGGGTTCTTGTTTTCTCTGCACACCCCGCGCAGGAACACTCACCCCACCCCCTCTCCTCTTCTGCCTCATCATGCGGATGAGAATTCCGTCGTCACTTTTGGGCTCCTGGGGCGTGAACCTCTTCACCACTCATCTTCACCACCACTCATCATCCTCATCCTCATCATCGTTGAGTAAAGTGTGAGGAAGTCTCAGGCGGGAGCCCCCTCCCTATGGGGCCCGCAGATCATGTTGGTAATCCGAGCGGGTCATCGGAACCCTGTAACTGTCGTCACTTTTGGGCTCCCCAGGCCTGAAAATGGAGGAAGTCTCAGGCGGGAGCCTCGTCTGTGAGTGAATTGGGAGGAAGTCTCAGGCGGGAGCTCCCTCCCTATGGGGCCCGCAGATTATGTTGGTAATCCGAGCGGGTCATCGGAACCCTGTAACTGTCGTCACTTTTGGGCTCCTCAAGCCTGAATATGGAGGAAGTCTCAGGCGGGAGCCTCGTCTGTGAGTGAATTCTGAGGAAGGCTCAAGCGGGAGCCCCCTCCCTATGGGGCCCGCAGATCATGTTGGTAATCCGAGCGGGTCATCGGAACCCTGTAACTGTCGTCACTTTTGGGCTCGTCAAGCCTGAATTTGGAGGAAGTCTCTGGCGGGAGCCTCGTCTTTGAGTGAATTGTGAAGAAGTCTCAGGCGGGAGCCCCCTCCCTATGGGGCCCGCAGATCATGTTGGTAATCCGAGCGGGTCATCGGAACCCTGTAACTGTCGTCACTTTTGGGCTCCTCAAGCCTGAATATGGAGGAAGTCTCAGGCGGGAGCCTCGTCTGTGAGTGAACTGCGAGGAAGTCTCAGGCGGGAGCCCCCTCCCTATGGGGCCCGCAGATCATGTTGGTAATCCGAGCGGGTCATCGGAACCCTGTAACTGTCGTCACTTTTGGGCTCGTCAAGCCTGAATTTGGAGGAAGTCTCTGGCGGGAGCCTCGTCTTTGAGTGAATTGTGAAGAAGTCTCAGGCGGGAGCCCCCTCCCTATGGGGCCCGCAGATCATGTTGGTAATCCGAGCGGGTCATCGGAACCCTGTAACTGTCGTCACTTTTGGGCTCCTCAAGCCTGAATATGGAGGAAGTCTCAGGCGGGAGCCTCGTCTGTGAGTGAACTGCGAGGAAGTCTCAGGCGGGAGCCCCCTCCCTATGGGGCCCGCAGATCATGTTGGTAATCCGAGCAGGTCATCCAAAACCTGTAACTGTCGTCAATGTTGGGTTCTCGCGCTGCCAGAACGCAGTTCCCAGGCCACACTTTGGATGCAACAAGGAAGTTTTTGGGCTCCTCAGGTCGCCGAGGTGCTGCGACAGGGCGCCGAAGGCGCCGACGACGACGGCCAGGCCGAGGCGCGGGCGCGGAGCTTGCTGATGTTCAGGCCCAGCGAAAGGGAGTTCACATGGCAGAGCTCGGGGGCGCACAGCGTGCGCCGCTCGGGGTTCACCCTGACGCACGCGTCCTACCTGACCTCCACGCTGTCGCAGGGCCAGACGCTGCGCAAGGGCGTCACCATCGACTGCGCGAGAGACGAGGACGCTGGCCGCACGGGCATGTCGGACGAGCAGTGGTGGCTGCACCTCTACGTCATGTTCTCCCGCGCCACGTGCATGCGGAACATGCTGATCCTGCGGCCGCCGCCGCGAGAGTTCCTGGAGTGCGGGCCGCCGGCGTCCCTGCGGAAGGCGCTCCTGGAGTTCGACAAGAGAGCGGTTTTGTCCAGGGCGGAGGCGAAGCAGCTCGCGGCAGAGCTGGGCTTCGTGCTGCCTTCCGCCTGAGCGCGGCTGCGCCTCGCTCGAAGCCCGCGGGGTTGTCCCAACGGCTTGGTCTTGCGCGCCAACGGCTCGCGGGGTTGTCCCGACAGCCTGGCCCGCGGGGTTGTCCCAACGGCTGCGCGACGTGACCAGTAGAGAACGCGCCTGTGCTGGCCGTGGCGGCGACGGCGCCGAGGAACATCGACATGCGCGCTCATGCAACAGGAAGGGGAGGAGGTGGCGGGGCGCGGAACAAACAGGGGGGCGAGGATGGGGACAACGTAAGGAGTGGAAGGGGGGCCCGCGCCAAGGCGAGAGGAAATATACGCAGAAGAGACAGCCAGGACGCCTCACCAACCACGAGGACGACGGTGATGGCTTTTTCCAGATTCGCCCAGAGGATTCTTATGTGGGGTTCTTCCGTCGGAGTAATTTTTTTTTTTTGGGGGGGGGGTATTTTTGGGGCATTTGGGGGGCATTTCTTGAGTATTTGAGTTTTTCGTGCAAGATCCGCCTGTAGGGGGACATGCCCGACCTCAGGGTACCCCGGCTCGTCGCGGCCGGATGCTGGAGGCCCGAGCCATGTCCCGAGAGCCAGCAGGCGGTGGGGGCTCAGGGGAGGGCGAGTTCAGCCGAAGTCCGTACGCGTCCACCGCCCCCTGGGCCGGGCCCTTCCTGGGCCGAGAAGCTGCGCGCGCGCCCTCGGGGTCAAGCCAGGAGGGCGTGGCGCACACACCGCTGCTGAGCTCAGGATGGGCCTGGCCAGGGAGCAGTGGATGTGTACAGAATCCGTCGCCCTATAGGGCGGGCGAGTTAAGACAGTGGTCGTTGGCTTCCGGGGGGGGGCCTTTGTCGCCGCGGCCGGGCGCAGCTCGGAAACTTGGTTCGTCTGGGGCCCCTGGGAGGGGCCCGAAGGGTTAGGTCGGGCATGTCCTCCGACAGGGGGATTTTGGAAGAAACAATAACAATAATTTTTAAACCTGCTCCAGAACTCTAAAACATAGTCCAACAAATCGTCCCCAGACTGCTTTTTGGGAAACTATTTTTGAGTATTCCTGCGATTCTGAGCTGGCCGTGGTCTCAGCTCGCCCCGCTCCGAGGCGCGGCGAGCGCGCGGGCGACGGCCGACAGCAGCCTCGGGGGCCACGGAGGCGATCACGAGCACGGATCCAGGGGGCGTGGATTGTCGACGGGTCTCGCTTCCATGGGAAGCGCCGCGGATTTGCGCCGCCGAGCGAGGCGGCACCGGCCGCAGCTTGGGGAGGGCACCTCCCCCGATGCATGAACTTGGCGACCGCGCGCCAAATCCATGGATCGCTAGTCCATGTCTGCGCGCCCCCGATCGAAGAATTTCGGCTTCTCGAGCGACTACACCAACGGAACCCGACTCGAACGAGTAAACCCCTCGCGCGCCGACGGTGTCGGCGGATCCAGTGCTGTGCACTGCCCCGTGGGCTTTCCTTTCCGTTCCTCTTCCTCCTCCGCCTCCTCCGCCTCCTCCTCCCCTCCTCCTCCACCTCCTCCTCCTCTTCCTCCCCCTCCCCTCCTCCGCCTCCTCCTCCTCCTCCTCCTCCTCCTCCTCCTCCTCCTCCTCCTCCTCCTCCTCCTCCTCCCCCCTCCCCGTCCTCCCTCCTCGCCGATCGGGGCCTGCGTGGCCCATCCTGCCTGGGGGGCGCGCGCCCTTCGCGATCGGGGAGCCGTCGCCGCGCTCCGTCGGCAGGGATGAGAAGCCGGTCCCGGGGAATGGGTCGAGGCTTCTGGGGACCCCGTATTGAAGGAATCACGACATCGGATCCATGGGCTTGCTGTCGGTGTCGCCACGGACTCCGTCCGCTCGCGACAGGACGTCGCACGTCCAGCAGCGACCACTGTTGGTGTTAGAGGATGGTGCTCGACAATGCTTCCGACCGCTCGGAGCAGGAACACTTGCATGAATGGAATCTAGACTCTCGGGCCGCGCAAGCGTCTCTGAAGGCACGCTCTCTGAAGTGAAGCAAGCCGCTCCGAGGGCGCGCTGCAGACTCTCCGAACAGATCGTTTCGAACGGCCACGCACCCTGCGATGCTCTGCGTGATGGCAGCCGCGTACGTGGGCTCGCTGTCCAAGTGGCGGCTCAAGCAGAGAATGGACATACAGTGGGGGGCCCATGCCAAGAAACGCCCTGCGTCCCTCCAGGGTACCCTCTGGGCTTCTTGGGTGTCGATGGTCTTGCTATGGACAGCGTGACCCTACCACGCCGAACGTCATTGGACGCCCTGGGGTCTCAGGGTGGGGTTTCTTGTGGACGGTCTCTTGTCGTCCGGCCTTCCCTGTACCTTTCCGGAGCCCCGCCCGGATTCCTCGGACCCGTGCCGGGCCCTCGGCTCCTGGCGCGCGGAGCCGCCCTCGGCCGCGATGCCGCTGGCGTTGGCCGCCGCTCGCCGCCGCCGCCGCGGCGGCCCGCCGCCGCTGCCCGAGGCGTGCTTCGCCGCGCTCCTGCACGGCGACTGCGACCAGTGGCTCGCCTACGCCTGCGTGCTAGGCCGTTCTGCGGCCGAGGGGGGGAGGTGCGGCTGGCAGTCCAGCGGGAGGCGGAGTGGGGGGGGGGAGGGAAAGGACGGATTCTGCTGACAGCCTCTGAGGAGGAGGAGAAGGAGGAGGAGGAGGAGGAGCAGGAGGAGGAGCAGGAGGAGGAGGCGGAGGAGGAGGAAGAGGAGCAGGAGGAGGAGCAGGAGGAGGACGGCCTATGAGGAGGAAGAGGAGGAGGGGAGGAGGAGGCGGAGGAGGAGGAACAAAAAATGTGAGGAGGAGGGAGAGGAGGAGGAGGGAGAGGGGGATGGAGCCAGAGGAGGAGAACGAGGAGAAGGAGGGGGGAGGATATGATGTCGACAATGATGATGTTGTTGCTGCTCCTGCTGCTGCTGCTGCTGCTGCTGATGATGACGCTGATTGTGATGATGCTGATTGTGATGATGATAATGATGATGATGATGATGATGATGATGATGAAGATGAAGATGAAGATGATGATGATGATGATAATTGTGATGATGATGATGCTGATGATGATGAAGAGAAAGCTGGTGATGATGCTGGTACTGATGATGATGCGGATGCTGCTAGTGATGATGATGACGATGCTGATGCTACTGATGATGAGGGTGGTGATGATGACGATGATGATGATGATGATGATACTGATGATACTGATGATCAGGACCATGATGCTGATGATGATTACGCTGCTGTTTCTGATGGTTACGTCAATGATGATGAAAATGATGATGCCGTTGATGATGATGATGATGATGATGATGATGATGATGATGATGATGGTGATGGTGATGGTGGTGGTGGTGATGGTGAGGAGGAGGATGAGGATGAGGGGGAGGAGGATGAGGATGATGATGATGTTGGTGGTAAGGATTATGATGATGGTGGTTGTGATGATGATAATTATGATGCTGATGATGCTGATGATGATGATGATGGTGGTGGTGACGATGATCATGATGAGCATGATGCTGATGATGATCATGAATGCGACGACGATGATGATGACGATGACGATGATGATGGTGATGATTTATGATGCTGATGGTGATGATGCTGATGATGATACTGATGATGATGATGACGATGATGATGATGGTGATGGTGACGGTGATGCTGATGCGGATGTTGATGATGATGTTGATGCTAATGCTGATGCTGATGCTGCTGATGCTGCTGCTGCTGCTGATGATGATTATGGTGCTTACTATGATTATGCTATTGCTGCTGCTGACGATGGTGGTGGTGTTGATGATGGTGCTGATGATGATGATGGCAATGCTGATCTTGGCGATGGTATATGCTGGTGGTGGTGCTTATTCTGATACTGATGGATGATAATGATGGTGATGCTGCTGCTGATGTTGATGATGATCAGGATGAGGATGATGATGATGATGATGATAATAATAATGATAATAATAATACTAATAATTATAATAACAATGATGATGAGGAGGAGGAGGAGGGGCTGGGCATGCAGATGGTGATGGACACGTAGGGGAATGAAGAGCAGGCGGAGGAGGAGGAGGAGGCATAAAAAGCATGATAATGATGAACAGGATACGCAGGAGCATTTTGATGATGCCGAAGAGGCGGTAGAGGATGATGATCATGGTGAAGATGAGGACGATGATGAGGATTATCATCGTCAGGGTGGTGAAGGTAACGAAGAAAACGATTAGGCCGATGATGATGATGATGATGATGATGATGATGATGATGATGATGATGATGATGATGATGATGATGATGATGATGATGATGATGATGATGCGATGATGTGATGATGATGATGATGATGATGATGATGATGATGATGATGATGATGATGATGATGATGATGATGATGATGATGATGTCGCTGATGAGGAGGAGGAGGAGGAGGATCATAGGAATAAGGACGACGACGACGACGGCGACGGACAAGGACGACGGGTAAGAGTATGGGATTCGGATGAGAATGAGGATGAGCAGCAGCAGCAGCAGCAGCAGCGTCACCTCCGCTAGGAGGGCGGGCGGCGAGGCGGGGCGGAAGGAAGAGGGGAAGTGGAAGAGCATGAAGAGGATGCTGGCACGGTCTTTGGCTCAGCGTGTTGCGCCGCTGGTTCTGGCCCACGACGCTTCGCGGAGAGGGGGGTGGTTACGTGTTGTCGGAAGGGGCGGAGGGGGATTGGAGGAGGAGGACGAGGAGGAGGAGGAGGACGACGACGAGGAGGAGGAGAGGGGGAGGAGGTTGAGGAGGAGGAGGAGGAGGATGAAAATGGATGCGGGGGGATGGGCAAGCTCCGTCGGGAGGTCAATCACCGCCCCTTGCTAGTAAGCACCCCGTGCAGTGGCGGAGACGCAGCTGCCGAGCACAGGGGCGAAGCTGCTCGCAGGCGCACGGAGCAGCAGGGCTCGGCGGCACGAAGGCCACCTGCGGCACAGGCTGCGGAGCCGCACGGCGGCGGGAGCAGCAGCTGCAAGACCTGGGCGCCCACGAGTGTGTTGGGCGAGGGGTGCGCGGGCACCTCTCCTCCTCCTCCTCCTCCTCCTCCTCCTGCTGCTGCTGCTGCTGCTGCTCCTTCTGCAGCTTTCCATTCTGAGTCGTTTACTGATGGTGTCAGGGCCTGGCGAGGGCCTCCCGAGGCCGAAAACGATGAAAGACCGGCGTCTTCATTTTTTCAATATGTTGGAGGTTTGGGCGGGAGAGTCGGACGGGGCTAGGACGAGGATAAATCTTTTCCAGAGCGTTCCGGCACGCTCTCAGAGCGTCCCGGAACGCTCTGCGAAGGCCGCGGCGCCCGAGGCATCCTCCAGATTTGCCAGATCTCAGAGATTCTCGACGGATTCCCCCCCGGAGGGCTTTTCGGGCACACGTGCGAGGGGCGAGCGCGGGAGGAGGAGCCAGAAGGCGGGCGCGCCGGGAGGAGACGACGGGAGGGGGGGGGGCGGGGGCCCCAGACCTCCGATATGTCTGGGCTCTGTCGGTGCGGGGTCCGCACTGAGCTCTGCCCTGAGCCCCGATCGGATCGGGGCTCGGGGCAGATCTCGGGCGGCGTTCCTCCTCCTGCACCTGCTCCTCCTCCTCCTCCTCCTCCTCCTCCTCCTCCTCCTCCTCCCTCCTCCTCCTCCTCCTCATGCTCCTCCTCCTCCTCCTCCTCCTCCTGCTCCCCTCCTCCTCTTCGCCCTCCTCCGCGCGCTCGCGCGTGCGCCTCCTCCTCCTCCTCCTCCTCCTCCTCCTCCTCCCCTCCTCCTCCTCCTCCTCCTCCTCCTCCTCCTCCTCCTCCTCCTCCTCCTCCCTTCTCCTCCTCCCTTCTTCTCCTCCAATGTGTTCCGCTCCCTCTATGGACGGGGCCAGCCCGCCCGGGGAAAGGCCCCTCGCTGCTGTCCTGCGCTCGGTCTACAGCCTGCCCCAGCGCTCGCTGGATCGTCCGCCCTGCTTCCCAAGCTCCTCGGATGCCGATTTCCGTCCTACGTCGCCGCCGCTGCTTCCGCCATGCTTTTGCGGAAATGCCCGCCCTGTTTTTCTGGGGCGGAAATTTCCGCCTTACGTTTTCGCATAGTTTGGGGTGCATTGCCGACACCATCGTACGTGGGATAATACCAGCGAGCGTTGACTCAAAATAGATAGGAGGACAGGAGGAGGTCGAGAGGAGGATGGGAGGAGGACGAAAGGAGGACGGGAGCAGGACGGGAGGAGGACGGGAGGAGCAAAATCAAGCAAGCGCAAAGCGGAAGCAGGCAAGCGCAAGCGAGCAATAACATCGAAGAGCCAGCGATCAAGTGCAAGCAAGCAAGGGCAAGCAAGAGCGAGCAAGCGAGAGCAAGCACGCAAGAGCAAGCAAGCATGTGCAGATGAGTGTGTGATGTTGATGAGGAGGAATACATAGGAATACATAGGTCTCGCCATTGGAAAGAGCTGAGGGGTGCCATTGGAAAAAAGGGATGGTGCCATTGCCAAAGGGGGGGGGAGGGGGGTGCCATTGGAAATAAGGGGGGGGGCCATTGGAAAAAGGGGAGGGGGGGGCTAAAGACCAATTGCTTATGATGAGCTAGGTCTCCTATAGGGCAAGCCTATTTGGAGAATCAGCCAAAGTACGGCGGATCCCAAGTCAGGGTGGGCCGCGAGCTGGGGACTCAAACCTCCGATCTCTTGACTGTTTCCATGCGGAGTTCCTGGAGCTCCGGGTCACATTCTGGGGATCGGTTTTTCATCCCGGGTCGTCTGACGGTCTTGGGGTCGCCGGCCCGCAGTTGCCGAAGACGAAGGACATCAGCCACGCGCAGAGGGGCGTGGGGGGAGGGGAGGGATGCTTAGGAGCACTTTGGCTTCGATTCTCAGAAGTATACCCTTGCTTCTTAGAAGGCGCGAGCCTTCTCTGTGCACGTAAGGCCGGCGCCTTTAAGAAGCAGCCTCCTTCTCAGAAGCCTTCCTTCCTCCCTCCACTTACTTGTGCGCGCCGCCAAGAGCAACCTCCGTCTTGATTTTAACAATGCGTTGGAGTTCTGGGGAAGGGATGCAAGGGAAGGGGCCTCCCTTCGACTGAATTACGACGTTGCTCAATTTCGCTTAGGCTGTTCCGTATTGGCTGGCGCGCTTAAGGAGGAGGGCCCAGAGAAAAAGGGCGAGCGGCGACGGCGAGGACGGCGACAGCGACGACGACGACGACGAGTCAAACAAAACAGCCTCTCGCACACGCCTACAGGGTCGGTGCATTTCAAAGCCCTTCTGTTCCCTGGGCCTCCCAGGTGGGGTCGGAGTAGATGGGGTCGGAGGATCGCGCCGCATCGCCGATGTATCGGCGATGCGGCTCGATGTGAAGCCCGATGTTCTGCACGGTGGCGTCTCCGATGCACCGCCGACGTCGCCGATGCATCACCGATGCATCGCCGATGTATCGGCGATGCATCGGCGATGCGGCGCGACCCTCCGAACCCATCTGCTCCGACCCCACCTGGGAGGCCTCTATGTACGTTGGAGGTCTGGGGAGGGCACTGGGGCGCCGCGCCCCCCCCCCCCCCCCTGGCGAGCGCGCCCTCTGCCAGGCCGCAGGCTGAAGGAGACGTCACCAGGCCCCGACCGGGTCCGGCCCTCGGCGCAGCACCGTCGCCCGCCCGCGAGGGGGAGGCGGAAGGGGGGCAGGAGGAGGGGGAGGAGGAGGAGGAGGAGGAGGAGGAGGAGGAGGAGGAGAGGCGAGTAGGGAGGAAAAGGAGCAGGAGGAGGAGGAGAGGAGAGAATGACTTAGGTAGGCATGGAACGGAGGACGGAAGGAAGACCGATGATGAGGAGGAGGAAAGGAGGAGGAGGAGGACGCCGAGTAGGCGGAGGAGGAGGAGAGGAGGAGGAGGAG